ATAGAGCTAAAATCTCTTCAAAGTCAAATAGATTCAATAAAAACAGCCAAATCAAAGAGTCAATCTCTTTTATCAAACAATTGGGCCTAAGAAGGTTTTATAATTTCAGAGACAATAATCAATCAATAAATCATAACTTAAACAATAAACATCAACACTCAAACAATGCAACACTTATAATATAACTTAAACAATAAACAAACATGGAATTGAAAATAAACATATTTAATACTGACAATCAAATTCATAAATTGAGAAACTTATAAATTGGAAAGTCTTAATTTAAGAATGAGGTTAAAAAAAAGAGAAAATTGCTCCCCTGAGTTTCTTCTTCGCTCGTTAATGGCGCCAGAACCAGAGACCATCATCATCCACATCCATGGCCAGAGCTCAGTCGTCGCTGCCGGAATCAAGACTTTGAACAGTCGCCGTCCTTACTGTCGCCACCATCGCCGGAGTAATTATCCCCGAGCCGCGCCGGACCTAGGGTCGAAACCCTAGGTCGGCTTTCCTTGTCCCGTTTCCGCTCTCGCTCCCGATCTGTTCTCTCCTCCCTCATTGTGTGACTTTTGTCTCCTTTTATATTAAAAGTTTTGAAGAGGTTTAATCGAATAGGAGTAGATCCGTTTCTTCCGCTAGTCTTCTCCTGTTGGCGAAGGACTTCTCCATTTCTTCCGTCTTTTTTTTTTTTGTTTTGATCTTCTTTGTCACTTGCTTTATCATTGGATGATTGGACTTGGCCCAATCCTTTTCTTCCTTTGCTTTTGAGCTCCAAATATCCATCTTCTTTATTTTTTTCAACATTTTTGTACTCCAAAATATATCTAAAAATTGTGTCAATTAAAATAATACTTCCAAAATAATTGTCATTTATAAATATGCTCAAAATCATGCATTTTATGTATAAAATATAAACAGTAGCCTAAAATGCTAAATAGAACAAAACAAGCTTATTTAAGTATAAAATACATATTAATTGTCTTAAAAGTACTAAGAAATGAGATAATAAAATATGACATTTTGTGACTTAACAGTCGTACTCTAGCGAAAAGCTAAACGATACGAGGAGGCGATATTCCACCTATGACAAAGAGTTCTACGCGTTGGTGCGATCACTTGAGCATTTGCGTCATTATCTCATAAGCAAGGAGTTTATCTTACATTCTGACCATGAGGCTTTGAAATATATCAAAGAGCAACATAAACTCCGACACAAGTATGCTAAATGGGTGGAATATATCCAAACCTTCACCTTCTAGCATAAAAATGGAACCATGAACAAGGGCGTCAATGCCTTGTCCCGATGACATTTATTACTAACGGTACTTAGTACCAAACTTGTTGGTTTTGAGTTTTTGCAGACAGTGAGGATGAAGACTTCAAAGACACACTTATTCTAAGTGTCTCATTCGGCCCCATGGAGACTTTCTTGTCAATAACGGCTATCTCTTACGAGGAAACCAACTTTACATCCCGAAATGCAGCGTTCGTGAAACCCTCATTGACGAAGTCCACAAAGGAGGCCTCGCTGGTCATTACGAAGTGGAAGATGGAACGAGACATAGAGAACTTCATCAAACAATGCAACACTTGCCACCTTGCCAAAAGCCATTCGCTGCCTCAAGGAAAACTCCTCTCTCTACCTGTGCCCTTTGCCCCATGGGAGGACGTTAGCTTGGACTTTATCACCGGGCTGCCAAGGACTCAATGAGGCAAAGATTCTATCATGGTCATGGTGGATCACTTCTCAAAGATGGCGCATTTTGTGCCATGCATGACCACCCACGATGCTTCACAACTGGCTAATCTTTACTTCCGAGAGATAGTAAAACTCCATGGCATTCCCCGAAGCATGATCTCGAATAGGGACGCGAAATTCCTAAGCCACTGTTGGATGACTTTATGGAGAACCCTTAGAACTCTTCTCCGAGCCCTCATCAAGAAGAACATCGAACAATGGGAAGAGTTACTACCACATGCTGAATTTGCCTACAACCAAACCCCGAATAAGACTACTGGATTGTCGCCCTTTACGATTGTCTATGGTTCGAACCCTTTGATCCTGCTTGAGCTTGATCCTATCATGAAGGATACCAAATACAGTTAGGAAGCAGACAAGAGACCGAAGGAGATTCAGGACCTTCACAACACGGTCCGAGACAAGATTGAAGCCATGAACGAGCAAGTTAGTGCCCGGATCAGCAAGAAGAGATAGAGCACGAATTTCCAACCGGGAGACTTGGTGTGGATTCATCTCAGAAAAGAGCGTTTTCTAACAAAGTGCAAATCCAAACTGTTACCAAGTGTTGGAACACAGGTTTACGCCTATGTCGTACTAAACCGTGTTCGTTTTATGACAGGTTTTGATAATGCCAAACCGCCAAGAAAACAAGAGCAAATTGAGCAAAGAACAAAGACTTAGAAATTAGTTGAGTCGGTCTTAATGTGATCAAGACTAGCACAAACTTCTAAAACTTCGATGTCTAGGCTCATTGCTTTAACATATCTTTTTGCATATTCAAAATTTTTTTTCACAAGTTTTAAATTAGCCTAAAACACTTGGTGTTCGCCCAAACCAAAAACCACGCCATCCGGCATTCGGCTTTCAGAAACCGGCATTTGATTTCCAGAAATCGGTGTTCGGCATTCGGCTATCGGCGTTGGTTTTTTGCATCCAAACCAACCAAGTGGTTTTCAACTTATTATGGTTGGTTTTCACTTCTGGGCACATTTAAAAAGTTCTCCAACAAAAACACTTCAAAAACGACCTTTCGTTTTTTGTTATGCGAAACAACATAAACTTGGCTAGCCGTGGTTTTTACCTAAATGACATGGTTTTTAAGATGTCTCACTTGATTTCTTAGCAAAATACATTAAACAAATGTTTTCAACACTTGGTTTTTATTTTGGGGAACATTGATATTTGACATCGGCGTATGGCATGACTGACCAGCCATGGGTCTGGCTAAACCAGCCCAACAGTGATGTTGGAGTAACCTGTTAGACAAATGTGCAACTCTAGAGGGGGGTGAATAGAGTTGTTTTCAAGAATGTGCGTTTTTCGTGTGTGTGAAATAATAAAATTACAGGAATAAATAAAGAGAGTAAGGGAGAGAAGAACACCGAGATTTATACTGGTTCACCACCTCGTGGCTAGTCCAGTCCTCCGAGAGACTCTCTCGAAAGTCCTACTAATCTTCAAGCTTCAACGGGTGCTTGAAAAACCGGTACAACTTGAGAACTTGAATCACACAAGCTTCACTTTCTTACAACAACAAGACTTGAGTCACACAAGCCTTAAGAACAACACTCAAAAGAGATTGAGTTTACAACACAAGAGTGAAAGCTCACACAATTGAGCAAAGAAGTGTTGAAGAATTAATGCTCTATGGATGACAAAATTTTTAGCACTCAATAAAATATTTCTAACTCTCAAAATAATATATTTGATGAGGAAGATGGAAGCAAGAATTGAATATTGATCAATGAAGATATTGGAGTGCAAGAGATGTATTTTTCATGAAGGAGGATGAGTGTATTTATAGGGGAAAAGAAATAAATCCGTTGGAAGTAGGGATGATGTGTTTTTGACATATTGGACCGTTGGGGATTGCTCCAGGGCAAAGGACCGATCATCTAGAGTAATGGATCGAAAAAGATTTTCTATCAAAGCCACAGGGGATCGATCCAAGGCAGGGGATCGATCCTCTGGAACCAAAATCAGGAGATGGATTTATGCAGGGCTACGAGGGATCGATCCACACTCAAGGATCGATCCTATGAACAAATTCTTAAAAAACATATGACCGATCCATTCACTTGGATCGATCCAGGCTTGGATCACTCTGCACAGGTGATCGATCTAAGAAGGATTATCGATCCCCTAACGAACAAGGGCCAAACAAGGAGGACCCAAAGCATGTGTGCGAGTGGGGTGGATTTTGGAGCTTAATGTTTTGTTTTAGACAACAATTTGAATATCATAAGGCTCCCATAAACAAACAAATCAAATGGGTTGAAAAGAATTAATTCAAATTCAAAATTTGAATTAAGTATTTGAATTTTGGTGTAGAAATTGAGTCCCAAAAATATTTTGTGTGTCAAACGATGTACAAGAAAAATCTTTAAAGTATATTTTTCTTACCACAAAAAATTTGTGTATCCTTAAAAAGTATTTTAAAGAAATTTTGACACACTATTTTGAAACTGACTCAGTAGAATAATTTTAGACAGAGAAAAAATAATTTTTCAACTGACTCAAGAAATAATCATTTTTATCCCTCAAAAATAATTTGTTTATGCAAAAATCATTGTCATCCTTACAAGAATTCCTAGACTCAATAAAAATTAAAAAGTCTTCGGAGTCTTCACTTCACTTCAAAAAAAATCTGCGTAGAGGTGAGCGTTGATTTTTATCACCGTAAACTTCTTGATACCCTTCTTTGCTTTTTCTCGAAATGAAAAATAAATTTTCGAATATCGATTGAATTTAATCATCCTGTTTGTCATTTATCAAAACAAAAAAATATTCCAAAAAATAATAAAGGGGTTTGAACTCATGTCCAACGATTTCCCCCTTTTTGATAATGACAAACATAGTTGAGGAAAAAGCAAAGTATAATTCAAGAAATACTTCCCTTAATTGATTCCCCCTGCAAGGTTAGAGAAGTGCAGTAAAAAATAATCGGAGTAATAAGCGAAAAAAACGATTTTGAAAACCAAGTTTTCTCAACTATCCTTCCTTCCCCCTTTTGGCATTATCAACCGATAACCTTCCCCCTTAATTGATGCCGGGATTTTGAAGGATAGAAAAAAATGGCAAAAGTTTTCTTTAAAAGAGAACTCCTAGTAAAAATGCCACAAAGGGACAATATGTTCTAAACAAGAACAATATTGCCAACCCAACAATGATATCAATACACAATCATAATTAATATTTAATAACCATAACTAGCAACATTCAAAGGAACATCATCATCCACCAAAAGAGTCATAAAATAATATCATTTAACAATGTATTATAAATAAGTCATGACATAAAGAGAGAGAGAAGTCAAAGTGAGCTCGACGGTCTAGATCCACCACTGTAACTGTGACGCGGTCCGAAATATGGTCGTCGCTCTATCTCCGTCATCCCTGCTCAAGCCGTGAGAGACGATGGCCTTGCATGGTTACTTCCATGCGAGTATGCGCCACATCCGTGCGAGTACAAGTCACGGCGTCTAAAATCCGTTGAAGGATGGAACGATCAGCGCGACGCGATGAAGTAGAGCGTGACACCCGAGTAGGAGAGGAATGCCGAGTCGATTCCACTTGAGCGGCTTCTTGGACATGCGCCGGTTCGCCCTCCGGGTCATGTTCTTCTTCACCCTCTTCTTCTCCTTCTTCTTCATCACCTTCTTCTTCTTGCACGCCCTTGGTACATTAGAGCGGTTGAAGGTTGCGACATCGATGTACCACGTGTGGTTCTTTTGGACGTGGATGTCTTTTAAAGGCACATCAAAAGCTCTCAAAATGTTCATGATCGGGAACACATACCCAAGAGACCCTTTTGACTTCATGAGAATAAGGTTATTGCAAAAGAATTTTGCCCATTTAATTTTGATATTGTTCAAAAACACGAAGAGAAGACGAGTGTCCGATGAAAATATTTTGGAATGGCTCGACTTACGAGGAGCTAATACTTTCGAAATGAAGTAATGAAGAATTCGAAAATGAGGCTTAAGGCCTCCAACGGTTAGGCGTTCACGCCCAAGGACTTTTTCAAGGCACACCTCGGTAATGGTGTCATAAGAAGAAAAGGTTTTGAATTCCTTAGATGCAAACTTGTGGAAATCACAACTCTCAAAAGAAAATTTAAAAAGTTCACCAATATCCTTGAGAGTCATCTCAATGTCGGTGCCATTAACGGAGGTTTTGAGGACCCGTCCGTTGAAAGTAAGATTTGTATAGAACAACCGAATTAGATTCGGACAAAACATAGGAAAATTCTCACGAACAAAAGAAGTAACACCAAGTCTATCAATGAAAATGGTGGCATCTTGGAATGGTAGATGACAAAATACGGAATGAAGAACAGATTTCGGTGATAAAATAGGGCGATTCAAAAAATCACTATAGAAAAGGCGTTTAGAATCACCTCTCGGAAAGACAAATGAAGAGACAAATCGTTCATCTTGGGGTTGATGGTTCACCGTCATGAGATTTTGTGCGCAAACGTTTACTGCCTCGACGATCCGACATGGTGGCTAGGGTTGGAGCACGAGAAGAACGAGAAACCCTAAGAGAGAAAGGAAGAAGCACTTAATCTCAAGTAATCGAGCAAATAAGCAACAATAATCATCAATTTGCAACAATTAACAAATAATTTGGAAGAAATTGAAGAGAAGAGGCGAAAAACAAACCTGGGAATCGAGGAACCTTGGTCGCCGAAAGAGAGAGACAGAGCAGATAACAGAGACGAATGAAAAAATGGTAAAAATGAAGAAGGGAGGTTATTTATACCGTAAGTCAAAGTGATCGATCCATCCAAGGAGATCGATCCTCTGTAAAAGAGTACCTGCGCCGTTTAAGTCCAGGTGATCGATCATTCATTTTGGATCGATCCGCCGAATAAGAGCCAGAAACCAAGCAGCTTCATGGATCGATCCACAAAATTGGATCGGTCCTCTGATGTTTGGGCTGAATCCAGATTTCAGCAAATTAGTCCAAGTGATCGGTCCATTGGTTTGGATCGATCCGCCGAAGTAAACCTGCGAAAAAGAAAGGCCCAATGGATCGATCCTATAGCCGGGATCGATCCTATAGCCGGGATCGATCCGCCAAGTTTAACTTGAAAAAGCTTCGGTTTGGGTGATTGATCCAATTATGGAGATCGATCCCCTCTGTTCCAGTTTCGAAAAATGCCCTGAAACACTGAAAAATATACCCTGCAAAAAAGAATTATTGCGCCTCTGACGCTCAAATTAGTACCATAAATAAAAAGAATGAATTAATTCATAGAGATATCCAAAATGCCAAGTTCATTCCGAATGTGGAAGAAACTCTCCCTACTAAGGGGTTTCGTGAAAATGTCCACCAATTGATGTTTTGTTTCAACAAACTCAATTGTGACATCTCCCTTTTGGACATGATCTCGTGTGAAGTGATGCCTAATTTCTATGTGTTTAGTCCGCGAGTGAAGAACGGGGTTCTTCGTTAGACTAATAGCACTCATATTGTCACACCTAATTGGGATGTGATCAAGTATAAGGCCGAAATCCACTAGTTGCTGTTTTAGCCAAAGAATTTGGGCACAACAACTTCCCGCAGCGACATATTCCGCTTCGGTGGTGGAAAGTGCAACACTAACCTGCTTCTTACTAAACCACGAGATTAACGAATGACCGAATAAGTGGCAAGTACCGCTGGTACTTTTCCTATCGAGTTTGCAACCTGCAAAATCCGAGTCAGAGTAGCCAACAAGATGACATGTCGAACCTTTGGGATACCAAAGACCTACGTTCAACGTGCCCGCGAGATATCGCATTATCCTTTTGATCGCAACCAAGTGCGACTCTTTAGGACAAGATTGATACCTAGCGCATATATAAATGGAGTACATGATATCCGGTCTACTCGCGGTAAGATAAAGTAGAGAGCCTATCATACCTCGGTAGCGCTTGATGTCTACCTCTTTACCTTTTTCGTCCTTGTCGAGATAGCAAGAGGTGCTCATTGGTGTGTCAATGGATTTAGATTCGATAACATCGAATCTTTTAAGTAATTCCCTGCAATATTTCGTTTGACACACGAATGATCCTTCTTTGCATTGTCTAATTTGCAGCCCAAGGAAGAACTTTAATTCTCCCATCATCGACATTTCAAATTCACTTTGCATCATATCAGAAAAATCCCTGCACAAAACCTCGTTAGTAGCACTGAATATGATATCATCTACGTAAACTTGAAGCAAAAGGATGTCTTGGTTATCTTTCTTAATGAAAAGTGTAGTGTCGACTTGACCCCGTTTGAACTCATGGTCCAAAAGAAATTTGCTTAACCGTTCATACCAAGCACGAGGTGCTTGTTTGAGATCGTAAAGCGCCTTTTTGAGTTTGAAGACATGTTCGGGAAACTCATAGTGTTCAAAACCCGGGGGTTGTTCGACATACACTTCCTCTTGAATGATACCATTAAGGAAGACACTTTTAACATCCATTTGATAAAGTTTAAAATCCATTGTAGATGCAAATGCAAGTAATAAATGAATAGCTTCTAAACGTGCAATCGGTGCATAAGTTTCTTCATAATCAATTCCTTCTGAAACAAAGACCATGTGATTAATTGTGTTCCTAAGAGAATTACGAGTAGAAACTCCCTGCGTTATGTCACCAATGACATTGTCAATCGGGTGATTCTTTAATGTTCTCCATTCCTTAGGAAGCTCCGTTTGTTCCTGCGTTTTATCTTCTTCTGGTTCCTTTTCCTTAACGATTTCTTCATCATCATCATAAGAACCTGCAACATTATCAACAATACCTTTTCTCGCCAAGCGAGCATCAAATTCATCAAAGACAACATGAATAGGCTCCTCTACGGTCTTAGTACGCTTGTTGAACACTCTATATGCCTTACTACGAAGAGAATAACCTAAGAAAATTCCTTCATCCGACTTAGCATCAAATTTTCCCAAGTTATCTTTTCCATTATTGTGAATAAAAACTTTACATCCAAAGACATGAAAATAGTAAAGGTTAGGCTTTCTTCCTTTGTAAAGTTCATAGGGCGTTTTCTTGAGTATCGGTCTAATGACGGCTCGGTTTAACACGTAGCACGCGGTACTCACGGCATCCGCCCAAAAGTATTTAGGAAGGTTTGCCTCATTGAGCATAGTTCTAGCCATCTCTTCAAGAGACCTATTTTTTCGTTCAACCACGCCATTTTGTTGTGGTGTACGGGGGGCTGAAAATTTATGCTCAATGCCTAATTCGTCACAAACGACATCAAAGTCGTCTTGATCAAATTCTCCCCCATGATCACTTTTAATGGATGCAATGTGAGAGTCTTTTTCATTTTGAACCAATTTAATGAATTTCTTAAAAGCATTAAGTGCATCATACTTATGAGCTAGAAAGAGTGTCCATGTAAACCTTGAATAGTCATCAACGATAACAAAGCCAAAGTAATTACCTCCTAAACTCATAGTTCTTGAAGGTCCAAAAAGGTCCATGTGCAAAAGTTGTAATGGCCTAGTCGTAGAAACAATGTTCTTTGACTTAAACGAGGCCCTTACTTGCTTCCCCTTTTGACATGCATCACAAATTAGATTCTTCTCAAACTTAAGTTTAGGAACACCAATTACTAAGTCTTTAGAAACCAACTTATTAAGATGGTCCAAATTAACGTGAGTTATCTGATGATGCCATAGCCACGTTTCTTCCTCTTTGGTAATGAGGCACTTAGCTAAGATAGACGGGGAATTTTCAAGATCAAACATGTAAATGTTATCTACTCTACTACCACAAAGAATAGTCTTATTGTCACACAAGCGTTCTACAATGCATTTACTAAAATCAAAGATGACACGGTTACCTTTATCGCACAATTGGCTAATGCTAAGAAGATTGTGCTTGAGGCCCTCAACAAGAAGAACGTTCTCAACGGTTGTAGCATTGTCTTACCCGACGGTGCCACTTCCAATGATTCTTCCTTTGTTGTTGTCGCCAAAAACTACATTGCCACCTTTGAAATACTCTAAACTCCTAAATTTGGATGCGTCTCCGGTCATGTGCTTGGAGCATCCACTATCGAGATACCAAGAGGTACTCGAAGCCTTCAAGCACACCTACAAAAAGATATCAAGGAGACGGTTTAGGTACCCATGTATTGTTGGGTCCTTTTTGGTTAGCATATGTGCGATGTGTGTGCGTTTGTTGAAAATGCCTAATTTTGGTGAAGCACACGGGTGCAATGCGACCTATCTTATTGCAATAGTGGCAAATAACATTTGGATTATTCATCCTATATGGTTGAGTGTAATGAGTTCTAGGTTTGCTAGGATGTGCTCTTCTAGTTTGATTATTTATCCTAGCATTTTTATTCCCCTAGCTTTAACAAATGTTGTCTTTCTAGGTTGGTTTTTCTTATATCCAAGTCCTTCACCATTACTAACTTTTTGCTTAAGTATTTTATCTAAGGTGTTTGAAACATTATTAAACTTTCCCAATTTGCTTTCTAAACTAGCAACTTTATCTTTTAATGAAGTACAACTAGAGCATGTAGTAGATGAAGTAGATGAAGGTTCTTGTGGCCTTTTTCCAAAAGAGATAATTTCTTGTTTAAGTTTATCATTTATATTTTTGAGTTCTTTGATATCATTCTCAAAAATCAGGATTTTTTTGCTTTATTTCATTGTTTTCTTTGGAAGCCTTTTTGAACATTCCTACTAAATCTTCTACAATGCAAACAACATCATTAAGAGTTAAAGGATCATTGGGAGAAGGTTCTTGATCACTTACCTCTTTTGATGTTTCACCATCTTCAATGGCCATGAGACATAAGTTGGCCACTTCCTCCGTTTCCGAGTCTTAACTCCCGGAGCCGTCGTTCTCCCAAGAAATGTAGGCACGTTGCTTCTTCGGTGCCCTCTTGTCCTTCTCATTCTTGAGCTTCGGACACATTAGTTTGATGTGCCCAATTTCACCACCATATGTTGGAAAACATTTTCACTTTGACATTTTGCTAATGACAATGTTTGTTTCCGTTTAGGTTTTGATATTGACAAACCGTCGGGAACATGGAACAAAATGAAAAGATTCAAAGAGATAGAAAAAGTTCTTTGAAGAAACAAAAAGCACAAGAAAGGCATTGACGCTGCTAAAGATGGCGACATTGGCGTTTTGAAGACGTATTCTAAAGACTTAGGTTTTATTGTAACAAGCTCATTCAATTTCTCTACGTCATGGCTCAAAACAAAATATGTTTTTCATGCATCAAATGAGTGTTTTCATAAATGGTATTTAAGTTTCTAAAACACATGGTTATTGCTTAACCAAAACCATAACCATTGGTTATCGGCGTTCGGCTATGGCGTTCGGTTTTCGGCATTGGTTATTGACATTGATTTTAACCAAATGGTTTTTGGGTTTTTAACTTTGGTTTATGCTTCTGGACACATTTAAAGGTTTTACAAATGATTAGTTTTCAAAAACCATAACCTTTGTTTTTCGGAGTGGGTTATCGGCATTCGGCGCCGGTTATCGGTGTTGGTTTTTGGCGCCCAAATCAATCAAGTGGTTTTTAAGATTTTATGATTGAGTTTTACTTATGGGCATATGCAAATAGTTATCCAACAAGAACATGTTAAAAACCACCTTTCATTTTTGGTCTTTTGGTGAAAACCATGTAAAACGGCATAAACTTAGCTAGACGTGGTTTTTACCTTAATGAAGTGGTTTTTAAGTTTTTTTACTTGGTTTCTACATAAAATACATTTTATATGAGTTTCCAACACTTGGTTTTAATTTTGGAGAACTTTGGTTTTTGACATCGGTTTTCGGCGTTGGCTGCCAAACCATGGTTCTGGCAAACCATCCCAACATGCATGTCGGAAATCCCAACATCGATGTTGGCCTTCAGAAGCCCTAGGCAGTAAGTTTTTGAACAGCGATGTTCATGGTTGAACAGCGATGTTTTCAAATGACCGTTGGGCTATTTAAGACAAAATCTTTCCATTTTTGAAAGTCAAACACCCCAACATCGATGTAGACTTCTAGACATCGATGTTTTGATGACCGTTAGCCATTTTTAAAGGAAAGTCAAAGCCAAAACAGCGATGTTCACTTTATGAACAGCGTTGTTAGCCAGTAGATCCACTTTTATTTGATTTCCACAAATCAAGCCAATCAACCCCAATCTTTTCCCAACCGTTGCACCTTGTTTTTGGGTATAAAAAGGGGTCTCTTGGGTCTACTTTTCACAACCATTCCTCGCACATTTCATAGCTTTACATTGCATCATTCCATAAACTTTTTACATAGCTTTTTAGAGCCATTTCTTGAGGAATTGAGTGTGTTCTTGATCTAAATTAGTTTACTCATATTCTACTCTTTAAGAGAGTTTTTGTACTTGAGTGGTTAAGTGTTGTGAACACTTTAAGGGAGGTTTGTTCCCTTGTTTGTACGAAGGAAGGGCATATTCCTTCAGGTTGAAGTCTTGGAGTGCGGTATCTCCGAGCAAGTGTATTGAGGCTCGTGGGACTCGAGTTCTCAGGTTGTAACGGTTTGTTAAGCACCCGTAAGCTTAACGGAAGTAGTGTAGCTCGAGAGAGTCTCTCGGGAGACTGGACTAGCCACACGTTGTGGTGAACCAGTATAAATCTTGGTGTGCTTCCTTTACTCCTTTTTATTCCGCTCTTTACCTTATCCCTGCGATTTTTATTCCGCGAAAATTTATAAACATTCTCGTGCCTCACTATTCACCCCCCCCTCTAGTGAAGGGCACCTATTCTAACAATTGGTATCAGAGCCTAACTCTCTACAAGCCTTAACAGGTTGAGAGAACGATCTATATTTTTTGTTGAGAATGTCGTATGCAGGATTAAGCGAAGGACACTCCACCGTTAGACCTCCACTCTTCGATTAGGAACAAACTACACCTATTGGGAGGAACGAATGAGGATTTACATTCAGTCAATCAACTTCCAACTGTGGTTAATCATCAAAAACGGTGAGACGACGCCAATGAAAAAGGTTGGTGAAACCACCATCCCAAAGAAGGAGGAAGAATATGATGCTGAAGACATCAAGAAGGTAGAAGCTTTTGAAAAAGCTAAACACGTGATTCTTTGTGCAATTAACCCAGATGACTACCGGAAAATTTCTTCTTGCTCCACCGCAAAAGAAATGTGGGATAAGCTTGAAGTGACATACGAAGGTACGCCTCAAGTCCGTGAAGCTAAAATTGATTTTCTAACCCATGAATATGAGTTGTTTAAAATGAAGGAAATTGAAAGCGTTGATCAAATGTTCGACTGATTTTTAAAGATCATCAACGATCTCCATGTCCTTGGTAAAACATACTCGAACAAAGATCTTGTTCGAAAAATCCTTCGGAGCTTAACACCGGAATGGCGTTCAAAAGCCGATGCCATATATGAGTCGATTGGTAACACCAATGTCACCATCGATGGTCTTCGAGGTAATCTTAAAACTTATGAATCTACTGTTCTTAAACCTTCTCTTCACAAGAGTCCTGGTCTCGCTCTCAAAGCCTCATCCTCAAAAAGGGTAAAGGTAAGTGACTCCGATAGCGATGATGATAATCCTTCTTATAACTTGCTCGAGAAGTTCCAAGAGTTTTTGAAGGAAGAACTTAGGTCCCGAGATTGCAAAAGAAAGGGGGAACCCGCTCCAACGTGCTTTGGTTGTGGAGAACTTGGCCACATAAAGCCATATTGCCCAAACCGCAAGGAAAAGAAGAAGAAGGAACGAGCATACATGGCATGGGATTCGGAAACTGTAACACCCAATATAAGACTCCCTTATCCATCCAGGTCTGCAGCCCCTTCGGAATTTGGTTATCCATTCCGGTGATCAAATGAGATAATCGAATATTAGGCAAAATGTTTTACTATGAGTATACGTTTACACTCTTCTTTTGTTACCTAGCATCTCGTTGTCAGAGTTTATGCTAACATTCATCTTATAGTAGTAGGTTCCATCTAAAGGATGTGAATTCCTATCTTAGATTATTGCATTTTATTATGGACAGTAATCAACAATTTGCATCTCAACACAGATATTCCAACAGTCAATTTGACACACACATTCAAGCAATCAGCTTCATACAAGTATTTGAGCAATCAGCTCAACACAACAATTTGAACAATCAATTTAGTTCATGTAACTTGAGCAATCAGCTCCATACGAATATTTAAGCAATAAGACAATAACTTATTACCTTCCCGGGAGACAGAGATGACGTGGAGGATGCGGATGCAGTACTTGGAATAACTTTTTTCTTTGTTATTATTATCAAAATAATATCATTTTCACTTATTTGTATCCAAAATAGTACTTTGCAATGGTCCGAAGACCGATTTTAAAACCATATGCTCTGATACCAAAATGTAACACCCCAACCCGCATAACCCGAATAAATAGATTAGCGAACCGGGTTGCTACTAAATTGGTAACCACATACAATATTTTTCAATAAATAAAAACATTTCATTTAAAAACTAAAGCAATTCAAACCATTTAAATTACATATCGGAGTTTATACAAACAGTGCGGAAGCCTCGTAATTAAACCAATCATTATTAAGTCCCTGCATCCATACATCTCCTTCGTCGTGCTGCCCTCCAGGATGGATTCCAAAGTCAGCCCCTCCATAATTACCTACGTGTAACAAGGGGAAAGAGAGGCTACACGCTCAGCAACGAAGCTGAGTGAGAAATATCTAACAGTTCGAACATACACATATGCGAATCCACTAATTCATAATCATAACATGATATCACGCACATAGGTGTAATGTCATGCAGTTCACATAAACAATTCATCATATAATTTACCTGGCACCTGCCCTTTTTCCATTCTCGCCCCAAACGGAGCATATCTTGCAATAGTGGATCACCATTCATCTGTGCTTAAACTCTACACTAGACTAAGGACTTACCACTTTTCTGGGAGTCATGATTGTTCCCACTGGATCAGCGGATCATGCTCGACAAATGAGGGAGTTCTCACTGTTGGTGGATCACCAAGAACTTGTCCCTATTAATTATACTAATCTAAGGGCTACAACTTTACTGTATGGGAGACATGAGGGTTCCCACTGGATCAGTGGGTCATGCTCATCCAACGAAGGAGTTCTCCGTTGGGTGGGTGGAATCCCCACCTGATGGATCACCAGGCAGTTCAAGGATACCCGTACATACGTTTTTACCCGGTTCCACTTAACCATTGGAGGCCGGCATCCACCTGGTTTATACTCTTAACTTCCTATATTTATGTCAGTCCCAAAGATTCCCTTTGGGTAGACTTACCTTACCAACGCGTTGGATCAACACGCGGTACCTGTTTGCTGTGTGCTGGATCAGCCCACTCATACTTGCAATATCATATCTAAACATATGTATTTCATATAATCACACGTGTTGGATCAACACAGACCAATCGAAATCATAACACATTGCGACCTAGAATTGGGTATTGATACCCAAACTTACCGTCATACAACACATAGGGTCTCAGAATCAATCCTCGATGAAAACACATATTGACAGACCCGGCATCAGGTACCAGACGGTACCTGTCACGGTACGGGGTACCGTCCATACGGTACCTGGGTACCGATCCTACGGTACCTGGGGTACCGTCCGAACCGTTTGGGCTCTTCCGATAGGGCTGTCACGGTAGCCGACTACCGACTAGGCGGTAGGGCCTACCGTTCGTCCGGTACCTAGGTACCGAACGATCACAGCTACCGGCAGAGGAGAATGGAACAACAGAGTGTGGCGGTAGCACGGCACCGTCCTAGCGGTACCGCCTACCGCTTGACGCGACAAAATCCATATTTATACTTGTTTCGTTTTCAGCATCAAACCAACAGAAATCTCATAACAACAAATACTATTAGGTTCATATTAACATCCTAAACGTTATCAAGCACATCAATTCATCAATCAATGCCTAGATCATGCATACTACCCTTTTTGATTCAACGACAACAATTCCCGAAAACATATCCAACAATATAAATCACATAGATCAACCACGATAACAATTACGAACGGGATTTCAAACATATATGCATATTCTAGTGTTAGATGTCCACGTACTCACCTCGATTCGTCAATTCAATTCAAGAGAACATCGTTCGGATTTCATTGTCGGAGTAATCTCGCCTGCTGCCTAAACTCCACTGGTCACTGCCCGAAACTCCCATTGGACAGAGCTGGGAATACCGTTGCCGTTGACCGAGTCAACTCGCTGGAAAACATCGTGGTCAATCCCCTCACCGGTTCAATTGTTGCTGACAGGAATTACCCGCTGCCCGAACTCTATTGCCGGAGCATGGAGGTCACTGATTCGCCAATCGGGTCACCACCACCGCAGAGATCACCGGAGCAGAGAGAGAGGTCACCGGAGAGGACTGCCTGCTCCGGTCGCTGGGGGTGAGGTCGCGTCGCCTGAACCCTCCGCTGGCTGCCGGCTCTTGGTCACCGATCATCACTGCATCATCGTTGGTGCTGCTTCTGCACGAGGTCGCTGCCGGAAGTAGTCTCCCGATCGTCGCTGGGGTTGCCGGATTTGCTGGTGCCGTCGTGTGGTCAGCGTCTGTCCGGAATAAGAGGGCGCTGGTCGGTCTCAGTTCTCCAATCGAAGCACAGGCAAAGAGGGAGGGGTTGGCGGCGTTGAACAAGAATGAAGAAGGAGGATCGAAGAAGAGGACAGGGGCGGCGTTAGAATCTCAATATGCCTAGGGTTTTGTGCCTAATTTAAAATAACGTGTCTGAGTAAAACACACTTTTCAGGCCAACATGCTCCGAATTGAGATCCGTTTGCGTCATTAGATTTGATTCGTCGATCCTTACCCAATGATATAACTTGTATAATCATTCAATAAGTATTTACAGGTTCCAACAGGTCCGTCTTAATTCTTTTGTTTAATTAGTACCGATCAGTCTTTTAATTTAAATCCTTACAAATATCATCAGATTTGTCACGTTACATTGAGACGATTAGAATCCCCAAAATATCTTTTAATTCTTTAAAAGAATAAGTTGTCGTAAATAAATAATTCTTATTTATTTAATTATCAAATAACTTCTAGATCGGTTTGTAGGGCATTACATTTCTTCCCCCTTAAAGGAATTTCGTCCCCGAAATTCTTCTAAGGTACAGAGTTCAATAAGTTAGCTCACACTTGCTTTACGATTATGGTTAGGTGAGTGGCCACGCCATTCCCACGAAAATTCTCCTCATTTATTGTTCGAGGTATTATCGTAGAAGTTTTGTATTTGTGTTTTGTTCAAGACATATGAGAAGTTCGTCGAGTTTGTAATTCGATCTTTCTTAACAAAATTAATTTTAGAAAGAATAAAAGTAACAAGGTAAGACAACCTAGAATTGACTCTAGAATTTTTACAAATGGTAGAAATATTTTGAGACAACCTAGAAATGAGTTTAGAAATTTAGTTAATAATTCTAGGAATGATGATTTTAGATCACCTAGAATGTTTTTGGCTCAACCTAGGCATATGCATAATCCAAACGTAGTATGCCATTATTGTTCTAAGATAGGACACATAGCTCCCGTTTGTTTTTCTAGACATAGGGACACTTCTTATAATTATGATTATGATTATTATTTGCCTAACCCTCAAGGACCCAAACGTTTTTAGGTACCTAAAAATTATTTTTAGATGCATATGTAGGTGTGTTTGAAGACTACATTTTTGTAGTGGATGCTCCAAACACGAAACCTAATGATTTGCATCAAGGGGAGTTTGGGGGGAATTGTTTTTTGCTATAAACATAGTATCACTTTCAGGGGGAACATACAACAATGATGTTTTGTATCAAACATCAATGCTCACGGAGTACCTTTTTTTGTAAACTTTACTTAGTGCTTTTTGCTAATGCCAAAAGGAGGAAGTGTTTGGGTATATGCAACAAGTGAGGGGGAATCTTGTTTTCAAAGACGTAGGGGGAATTACCATTACTCACTCTTTGAAAACCCAACTTGGCCTGCATATCCCCTCCTTGGTTTGTCATTATCAAAAAGGGGGAAATTTTTGGAAAACATTTTCACTTTGACATTTTGCTAATGAAAATGTTTGTTTCCGTTTAGGTTTTGATATTGACAAACCGTCGGGAACATGGAACAAAATGAAAAGATTCAAAGAGATAGAAAAAGTTCTTTGAAGAAACAAAAAGCAAAAGAAAGGCATTGACGCTGCTAAAGATGGCGACATTGGCGTTTTGAAGACGTATTCTAAAGACTTTTTTTTTAATCCCAGAAACAAACACCAAAATCGGTGTGGTGAGACTGGGGAACCTCACCCAACTTTATTGATAAGTGAGCATTTTTGGGGTGGGTCTCCCACATTGAAAGACTT